ATATACACTAAAAGGGCTTACCATTCACACATATTTAGGGTTTAGGGTTTGAAACACAAGCCTTCCCACATGTGCATAAAAAAATAAGGTCTTACCCAATGTTTTTAGATTCCTTTCGGAGTCTTCTTTGGTTTGGTGAAAAAAATGAAGCAATTCAATACTTCAGCCGATTCGGGAGAAGATTTTAAACTTTTTTTAATTTAATATAAATAAATAAAATTTTATATATAAACATATAAAACTAAAAAAAATCAAAAAAAAAAGCTAGATTTACAAAATTAATACCATAAAATATAAATTTATTAAAAACTTACAAAAGAAGAGCTAGATTTCTATTTTTTTATACTAAAAAATGATAAAATTATTTTTAATAATTTGAATGTTTTTTTTAAAAAATAAAAATTTAAAGGCCTCAAATATTAGTATGAAACTTTGTAGAAAACTTATATCAAATTTTTTTAATACATATGGTCATATTCTACAAAGCAGAATATATTTCATTTGTCATAAGTTACTTGAAATTTAATATTTTTATTTAATAATTATATATTTAATAAAAAGATACATTAGTATATTAAAATATACGTAATATATATTTGACATTTATATATTTTTAAAATATGTACTACATATATGATATACTTCTTTTTTAGATTTTCTCAAGCACATTTTCTCTATTCTAATCTAAAATATCTCTCTAATAAAAAAAAAAAAATTTATCCAAAAAAGATAAGATTTATTTCTTTTAAAAAACTTCTCTTTTTGAAGTTATATGCCCAACATCCTATCTAGCAACATGGTCCCTCTTATTCTTATGATTGTGTCTGCCCCTTGAGTCCAACTTATAGTGTAATGTTTACTACGGGATTGGCCGGTACCACATAGGGATGGCAAGGGCCAGGCCGGCGTCGGTCTTATGGGCTAGCCCAGCCTGACCCAAACCAGGTCGAGGCGCATGGCCCGATCTAAGCCAGCATAATATGACACAAAGGAAAATTACAAAAATAAAATAAAAATACACGGCCATAGGGCTGGAAATGGACCTGGACCAGACCCAGGACCCGAGAGCCAGGTCCATCTTTTTGGGTCCGGATCCAATATCATTTTTTCAGGTCCGGATACAGACCCGACCCCGTTGCCACCCCTACAGGGCCATGGGGGGTTGCCTGTGTGGCCCTAGGCAGCACCTTAGTCATTTAGGGCTAGTCCGACCAGCATGGCCCGACACCCGGCCATTGCCTTGGCGATACCTTAGTTTTTCAGGGTTGGGCCTTCCAGCCCGGTTCGGTCACCCGGGCCATTGCCAGTTACATTAGCAAAAGTTACAATAACCACAAACACCAAAAATATGGGTGCAAATAGCAATCTCTACACGAAATTGAATATTTATCGGTGTCAACAAAAGTACCTGACTAAAGAGTGGTATTCCGGCCTCGAATCCCGGCATCGGTTTCATCTTTTCCCACTTTTTAGCCGAAAGGTCGTAAAGGGAGAGGCAGTATTCCGGCGAGTGGCGGCCCTTGGGGTTAACGGAAAACCTCTTTTGAGTGGCTTGGACTAGGCAGAAGCAGTTTTGGGAAAAACCGCTGGACTTTCGGAGGTCGGCGAATTCTTTCGAAGAGACGAGGTCACGCCAACGCTTGCAAACGGATTTGATGACGGAGAATTGATCATATGATGCTCGAATCAGGCATGCAAGGGCAATTTCGTAGGGTAATCCGGGGATTAGTTCCATTGTTCGGGGGCAGAATGGGAAAAGAGGCGATGGGAAACCGCCCTACTTAACGGAAAACAGCTTTGGAAGCCAGATGGAGGGATTGAGAAACAGAAAAAATGGTGAAGAGATGGAGTGGTGAAAACTTTTAAAGAGTTGTTTTCTTCTTTTCTCTTTCTCTTTTTGATAATTGGGCTTGTTAGAAAGTGAAATTGATGAGGAAAACCAGAGGTGTCTGGTTTTTGTTAAAGAAACGGAATGGAGATAACTGGGTTTTTGGGGTGAAGTGATTGAAATAGAATTGGAAAACCAGGGGACTCAGAAACCACCCAAATGAGAACACATATTGAACAGTTTGATTGTTCAAATGAGAAAAGTAGTAAAATGGAATAGACAAAGATATGAAAGACTCTGTTTTTTGGGGAGAGGTGATTGAAAATGGAATGGAAAACCAGGTGATTCAATACCACCCAAAGGGAAAAACTGCTTGAAGAATTTGACAGTGGTCTTAAAAGAAGCTGAATTTGATGGGAAACCAGGGACCAGTGATTTAAAAAAGACGCAGATGAGAAACTCGTACTGTTTTTCCACTTGAAAAGAGGAAATGGTGAGATAACAAGAAACCACTTGACGCAACAAGCACAATGAACAGCAGGGTTATGGCTTTATAAGCGATGCAAAATGATCAGAAAACCTGAAACAGGGGATCGCAAAACCACCCAAATAGCCCAATGACAAAACCACCATAAAAAATTGATGATTGTGGATTTTCAAGAGCCTGAAATCAATCACAGAGCCTCTTAAACCGATCAATACGAAACCGCCCAAATGGCAAAAACACAAAAAGAAAGACCACCCAAAAAAATTCACAGGATTAATAATTCATAAGGAGAGAGATGAGAAGCTCTGAATGAAAATCAGAAATACCACTTAGATAGAGAAGAAACCACTTTGTAGAACGGCGTTCAAACGGATGCGAAACACTGGTATTTATAACCGAGGGAGCACAGTGTTTCCTGCAGCCCAGGGGTGGCAAAAACCCATCGAAAAATATTAAAAAAATCAAAAAATTTATGGGAAAGATATTAAAATATTTGAAAAATGAGGCGGCCCTTCATTTCAAGGAAAAAATGATAAAATACATTTTTTAAAAAAAGAGGCGATTTTTCCCGCTGTTTCCCATTTTCGCGAAATAAAGATAAATGGTGGTCGACTTTTACCTTTTTTTTATTTTTTTATGTCAGAGTGGGGCCATGGCGTTGAAGGACATAAGGGGAATTTTGTCATTATTGAAAAATACGAATACGTAATTATTAGAGTATTTTATTTGCTCCTTGGCCTATAAAAAACTTTCGCCCTAACCTTAAATTTTTTGGGAAATTTTTAGTGAATGCTTTCTATGTTTCCTCTGCATCTATCCTCCCCCTACCATCTAGCCGTCCATTTTTTATGAAGAGATCCACTGACCGTTTGATCTTAGATCTGACGTCTCAAAGTATTTTATTTTAATTTTTTAATATAATTTTTCTGAATATGAAATTTGGTACGTGTCATCAAGACGCACCTATAAAAAATATTAACAATAATTTTCGATAAAAAATAATGATCAAAATACCCTTTAAAACTTTCAGAAGTATTTTGATAATTTTATTTTATTAAAAATATATTTTTTTATATTTTTCATTAGTGCAAGTTTAATAGAGGAATGGACGTCTAAAATTTGGTGTCAAAATAGTTTATAGAAAAGTATTTTTAAAAAAATAGTGTAGAAACGTGACATTGTGATTGGGGCAATCTTAGCCCTCCATTAAAAAATGGACGGTTTGATAAGGGGGAGGATAGAACTTCTATGTTGTAGGGGAACATAGAAAGCTATCCCAAATTTTTATACCATCAACAAAATCTTTAAATTTTGGCCAAACTAATCGGCTAAACCTCGTTGTTTTGCGGCTGGGCAGTAACCGGGCCGGGCTACTCTTGGACCTAGCCCGGCCCTGACCGGGCTGAAGAGGTCCTGACCTTGGCCCAGGTTGAAGAGGCCCTGGCCTTGGCCCAGCCATCTCCCTATAGAGTCGGTCTGTGCCAAATATAATCCAAGAAATAAAGATAAAAAAAGCATAAACAAAAAGGGGTTGAAGCAGGCCTTGCCCTCGGTCCGTGGTGGCCAAGATCTCGAGCCACATGTTGTGGCCCAGGCCCTCGTTTTTTAGGGCTGAGCGAGGCCGGCAAGGGCACTCATACCAAAGCCATGTCTATTTCTCGACAAAAAAAGGGGAACACTGTGAGTGAGGCATGAAATTGTGATCGAGGCCCTTGTGGCTATCCAATGGCCTATTGTAGCATTCTATACTACCCCTACTACCTTCCCCATCCAGCCATCTAATTTAGACAAGCGAGTCATTGATCGTTTGATCTAGATCCGACACCTCATAATACTTTATTTTAAATTTTTTTTTACAAATCATATGAATATAAAAATTGGCACGTGCCATTAACTTAATAGGGCACACAGAAAAAATTATTAAAAAAAAAATTTTAATAATAAAGAATGAGCAAAACACCCTTAAAACTTTTAGGGGTCATTTTATTTTTATCAAGAATATTTGTTTTTTTTTCGGTGCGAGTTCAAGAGAGGAATGGACATCTAAAATTTGGTGTCAAAATATTTTGTTAAAAAAAAAAAAATAAAATAGTGTAGATGCATGACGTGGTGATTGGATCCATCTCACATGTTAATTAAGATTGGACGGCTGGATAGGGAGAAGTGTTTGACTTCTATATAGTAGGATAATTATAGAAAAAGCACTCCCTATAAGTTCATAAATGATATTGACTTGTGTTTTTGACTTTATGATTGGGAAGTTTATAAAGCGAGGCAAAATGACTCATTATTGAACATTTAATCCATTTTCTTTGCCCTACAATTGAAAGCCATAAAAAATCATGTTATACGGGGTCGAAAGGCAATTTTGAAGGGAAATATTGTGTAAGTTGTTATTTTAAGACTATTTATAGTTGTGGTTCAATTTTTTTTAGAAAATCTACTCTTCCCCCTTGTATTTTGGGAGGAACAATAAGATAATAATGCCCTTTTTTTAAAATCAGAGAAAAGGGTATTTCAATGAAATATGATAATTTAAATCACATCTCAAGTTAAAGATCATCATCGTCAAAGCTTTTTTTCCAATTAATTGAGATCGGCTACATGAATTTTGGTTTGCCATTTTGTTCTATTAAGGGCTACATTTTTTATGAAGCCATAAGTCACCATATCTTTTAGCACTATTTCCAACCATATATCATTTCTAGCATAACCTTTATTTTTTTCTAACCTTCAACTTGAACTAATTTGCACCTCCTAATATGTGTTGTATTGAGTTTGCGCCTCACATGGCCAGCCCACAAATTTTACTTTCTCTTATCTTATCGCTTATTGGTGCTACACCTAAATTGTCTTGAATGTATTCATTTTGAATTCTAATCCCTTCTTGTCTTGTCACTCATCCATCTCAATATCTTCATCTCAACTATAATTATTCTAATCCCTTTTTGTCTTGTCACTCATCCATCTCAACATCCTCATCCCAACTATGCACATTTTATACGTATGTTTTTTGTTGACCACCCAACGTTCTGTCCTATAAGCAAAGTCGGTCTCACATTTGTTATATATAACTAACTTGCCCTTAAGCAATTTTGTCTAAAAAGGATGAGGACCTTAAACTTTTCTTTAACCCATCCCAAGCCCAAGTAAAATGGGTGGATTGTGTTAGATAGACTGTCAACATAAAACTTTGCCAAAACTTTTTATATCTCAAATTAAAGGTGTACTTTATACAAGGTTATAACTTTATTTATAAAAATAAGATCGTAATACTTTGTACCATTTATTTTATATCTGACACATATTTTAAGACAGTACTAATACATGCACGTAATTTAAGACAAGTGTCAAATCTACACATCTTAAATAAAATGGATGGTGTAGGTTACTACAACCTTGTTTATAACCATATTTCTACAAATAAGGTTACAACTTTATATATTTTTTACCTCAAGTTAATATTCAAAAGAAAAAAAAATCAAGGGGTAATTTTTAAGGGGTTGTACAATGTGAGACTATTTATTTTTGTTACACTTTAAATCTAATCAATGATACTCTCGTAATGACCTGATTCGAAAGCTAAATGATAAAAATGATTGTAACATCTTTGTATCAAAAGTAAATAGTCTATTTGTATGTTTTTTTAATTTTAAATTTTACCCTTTGATTCGAATGATATTAGTCTTTTATGAATAGCAATATCTCATTATGAACACTGTAAGATATTAATCTTCATAAATACAAATATTTAATGGGTGATTGGTGTTAGTTATTTAGTGAGATAACGGTGCTTGAAAGTACTATTTACAAATACCTTACGTACTGTTTAGAATGAGATGCCATTAACTTGTGGAAACTTAATACCTACGAGATATTCATATTAAAAAATACCAAAATCCTACAAGGTGATATATATGGTCTGAAACTACAAATATTATGGTAATGGGAAAATTACATATATATCTGTTATAGTTTTCGTTATTACTGCTCTATCGAATAGTTTATGTTATTATCATTGTATCCGTTTTTTTCATGTCAAAACAAAAATTTTTAAAAAAGAGATGACTTTATCATTTTTCGGTTTTTGAACAACCGAATTCGAAGTATTTTTGGTTGTTCAACAAATTTTCAATTGTTAAATAACCGAAAATTTTAAATTTTCTGTTCTTCAATAATCGATTAATGTTTTCTCTCTCGTGTGGCATATTTTCTCTACGTCGTTGAAGTCCTAGTTATCCGATAAAATTAAAGGAGAACAACTAGTTTGAACCCCTATATTTAGGAGAAATCTTAGGGATTATGAAATTAGAAGTTAGGAGAAATCTTATGTCGTATTCTCTCTCTACCTCTTTGAAGTCATAGTTATCGATAAAATCATGGGGAACAGTTAGTTTGAACCTCTAAATTTAGGACAAATATCAAGGATTATAAACTTAAAAAAAAAAAGAGCGTTCACTAAAGGAGAGAGAGAGTTTAAAATAAAAATTATTTTTACCCATGTAATGTAGAGAGAGGTAGAGAGGATAAGCAAACCCACAAGAGAGAAAAAAAGTTTCAATCTTTGAGTAATCGAAAGTTTTAAATTTTAAATTGTTGGTTATTTAAAAACCCAAATTGGCTTAGTTCTCGGCTGTTGAACAACCGAAAATACTTTGAATTCAACTTAAAAAGAGTAAAGTCGTTTTTTTTTGAAATTTCCGTTTTGACATGAAAAAAATGGATACGGTAGTAATAACGGAAACTATTCGGTAGAGCCGTAATAATGGAAACTATAACGGATATGTATGTAATTTTCTTATGGTAAATTTACTTGGTGCAATAGTAGTATTTCAATATGGTTTAAATCTCCCTCGTTTATAGCCCTACTTTGTCCTTGTGTATATACCTTGATTCTAGATAAATTATCTCTCTCACTCTCTCGCATATACGTACATTGACATACATAAATTTAAAAAGGGGTTGTATGCTATAAGACCATATATCATTGTTACAAAGAGGCGACAATTACTTTTATTCTTTAGATGTCAAATTAGATAGCTTGAAGTATCTTATGAAGTTTGAGAATATTTTTTAGTTTTGATTATGGTAAATGAAACTCTTGTAACCACCTGATTTGAAATTTGACAAATAAGAGTAATTGTACCCTCTTTGTATAAAAAATAAATGGTCTTTTTGTATAATTTTCAATTTATAACGAAGATAGAAAAATATTTTGTTAAATGAGAGAAAGAAAAATATTTTGTTAAATGAGAGAAAATTCATTGCATGAAATCACTCCCCATATATAAGGGAGTGATTTCATGCAACGGTTGTCTAGCGATTCGTCTAGCTATTTGTTTGACCTCAATTTTTTAATTTATATATTTTTTGTTCT